ACCCCCCTCGCCGTCTAGCATTAATGATGCGCATCGTATAGTAATAATTATTTTCAAGTCCTATGAAAAAAAAATAGAGGCAAAAATATTTATTTGTCATTTTGTCATATGCCTGCCAGACGGTTAGACAGATAGCGAGCCATTAAGTCAGTTTATATGTATGACCAAGCAAGCAAGCAACCAACCAATCGCCTATATATATTTTTGTGGCATTGCTCTTGTGGCTAAGACAAAATAGTTTCGATATATTTTTCCCTCATTTCATTTCTTTTTGAAAATATAGCTAAGAAGAAAAAACATGATTATAATACCGACACAGTATCTTGGCCATAGAATGAGTATCATTTTCCTGAGGTCAAAGTCTGTGTTTTTTGTGTGGATTCTCAAGTGGGGATTTTTCAAAAGTGTGCCTGTGTGGCATCATGAGAAAAATATTGGAATTTGTGGCATGCCGTTCATTCATGAAAATAAATGTTGAATGAAAAGTATATTGATGCTGTGGCGTTAATTGAGACATCAAAAGGCAAATGGAAAAAAGTATTGGGCCTTAAGGATTCATCAGTAGTTCAGAAGTATCAGTAGGCCTAGTCGAAAGTTATATGCCACCCATATGTTATATCTACGACCCCGACACGTACTATAACATATGTTGTGAATGTGTCGGGATCGAACAAATTTGTTGTGCATCTCGCTCCTTATTTATAGTCTAAAGTACCACCAAATGCCTACATTACTTAGCTGGCTTGTGACAGACCTTAAAAAAGATTTCCAGGCTCGTCGGTCTTATGCGCAGATCTTCCAATTTGAAAGACCATTGTCCGAGATGTTGTCTTCCACTTGATCTTTCTATCGAATTCGTGTCATCACCCTTCTTCGTGAACCATCATCTGGTTCGCTTTTATATGCCTTTTGAGTTGGGCATCTCCATCCATTATCGCACCATGACCTAGCCAACGTAGTATAGATGGTACAACTCATGGTTCATTCGACGGCGATTTAACCGTCGACGCAGATCGGCCCATAGATCTCCCGGAGAATTCTCTCAAACACTCCAAGAGCTGCTTGCGCAAGTACCCATGCTTTAGATCCATACAACATCAAGGGCAATATCAGCGTCTTTGGTGTGGCGTGAGTTTGGTGTGGCGAGAGGTGGTCTTGCTTTTGAGTTGTTTACTCAGACTATAGTAGCATCATCAGGATTTCAAAGCTGCTGTTATTAGTTTTGATTATGGCGGTACCAAGGTATATAAAATCTTTGACTACCTCCAAGCTGTAGTTTTCAAGTTTCACAGTTGGCACGAGTCTACTGGACGTCTTGGGCGTTGATACCATCAGCTTGGTATTCTCGCCGTTTACTGCCAGACCCACTTTAGCAGACTCCTTCTCAATTTGTTCAAAAGTGGCTGTTACCGCTCTCAGTGTTCGACCCGTTATATCGATGTCATCGGCGTAGGCGAGTAACATGTGTTGTTTGGTGTACAGAGTGCCATTTCTGTATTGAAGGGCTCCGAGAGGTCATTTCCGATTTTAACTGCTGGCATTGTGCTATTTAAAGTTATCCTGCATAGCCGTATTAATTTTGCAGGAATGCTGAACGCAGACATGGCTTGAACGGGTATGGCTGTCGAATGCGTCTTTATAGACGACGAATAGGTCGATATGGCGCAGAGTAAAAAATGTGGTCAATGGCAGGTCTGTAGACGCATTGGTATGATCTAATAATATCATCGACCTTAGGCTTCAGTCGTTCACACAGCACCTGGATAGCACTTCATATTTGTGCATGGGACAAAGGATGCTGAGGTTACAGGCACTGGACATGCATTTCTCTAGCCAAATTGTACTAATCAGATGCCGCATGCTCCAGTGTCTGCCAACGGCCTTGAAAAGTTCGTCTGGTAATCCATCGGCACCTGCTACTTCATAATTCTTCAGCCTATTAATAGCTATTCTGACCTCATCGCGGCTAGGTGGTTTACAATCTATACTGTCATTATTTATTGGTTCTGAGGTATCTTCATCACCTCCACTATTTGATATCAGAAGCTTTTCAAAATGCTCCTTCGAGCTCCTCAACCAGATCACCAGGTTTCCATCTTCATCTCTACAGGAGGATGTGCCTCACAAAAGCCTTCGGTTTGGTTCATTATGGCTCCTGTACATCTCGATTTGCTCTCGCTTATGTTTTTCTTGTTATTTTTTCTGAAAATACGTTTCTCCTCTCACCTTTTCTCCCGACCATTTTCCATCGCATTACGACTTGCAACTGTCTGCAGGGTTGCCCTATTCGCTGCGTTTTTCACATCAGTAGCATTACGACACTCCTGATCGTATCTTAGGTTTCTTGATGGTGGTTTTTGGTACCCAAGTGTTGCTTTTGCTGCAGTTTGTAGGGTGGGCAATGCTTTGCCATTGTGCTTCTATATTATTATCGGGACAAGGAGTGCTTTCGTCAAACAAGTGAGTAAGTTGAGCGAGGTAGGCTTCTGATATACACTCAACGCACCTTTGCTGCTACATTAAGACGGGTGCGAACCTTTGCTGCCATAAGGGATCGATCGAACGTTTAAAACACTGAATGAATGCCTTCCGTCTATCACAACATGATCAATTTGATTTCTCGTTGCTTGATCAGGATAAATCCAGGTTAACTTTTGTATATCGAGATGCTTGAATTTGTCATGCCGTTTTCGGATGTTTCTTCATGGGGGCAGATGACCAAAGAGTAGCATCATGATTTTTAGGGATAATTTCGACAGGCGTATCAGTGAGACTCTGATGAGGTTAAAAACCAATGTGATTAGTCATCGAGAATGCCGACATGTCGCTGATATTAGAATTACATGGAGAATGCTGATGAGTCTTCGGCTTTCGTCATCATGGGTTGCCTTCAAGTTATTTGGATCAGCAGAGGGTCGACAGGACTTATGGCGATGTTATTCGTCGAGAGGTCACTGAACATATAATATATCTTCTCATATAATGTCTATGGGTTTCTTGAGAGCCGATAGGTTTTATTGTAGTTGAAGTCAAATAAATGAAATTAGATTTAGACACTGGTGGGTCACAAAGTTTTTTGGACTAGGTGGACATTTACTTTTACGGCTAGTTTCAACCACTTTTTGAATCGATGAATACGCATGTCCGTCCGACTATGTATCCTTTAAATTGATCATCCGATAGACATGGAATTTGACACAAATTGATTTCGCCTAAGGATGGAAGTTATTATTGGCAAGAATCGGTTTAGATTTATATATACCTCACACATATATAATTTAGATTTTTGATGACATTTACCCAGAATGTCAAGATTTTCTTTAATCCGTTTTACTTCTCAGTTATCCAGTATGAACACAATGAATTAATGATCTTCGAGTGAAATGAATACTGGTCATACAACCCCGATTTACTGAAAAGCACACGGCCTAATCCATCTATGTTGCACTAACAATGTTTAGGCATCTGACATTGACTGCATTCTCATTCCTGGCATCTAGGAATTATGGTCCTTACATTTCGATGTGAAGACATTCCGATTGAGGCATCTTCTACGCTTCTACGAAATACGAATTTTTTCTTCACGTATGGGTGCCAAGTCAGGTTTGGTCGGCGAATTCCATGTTTTGACTGTTAAAAAAGGCGCATGTTTCTGCCGATGTATGAGATCTCCCATTGTCACCATGCACAATAAATCCTCTTTTCTTGTTCGGGTTCGAATTTCTCCGAAGTCTTCTGCAAACAAATAGTGTTGTACACTCCGGATTGACCTTGTATGTTGCTCAAGCGTAACAGTCGCTACATGATCAGTTATGCGAAAACATTTACTACCATTTGTACAGTTGTTCACGTTTCTAAGATCCATGACGATCTTAGAAACGATATCATTTTTCAAAATTCCTCTGCATCAATCTACTTTAGGATTTTTGAGTATTCTTTATGGAGGTGCTGGTTGCAGAAATACCCAATGATGTCTTTAACATTAACATGAACAGGATATTGCATTACCAGTTTACGTATGCTATCAATTTAAAGTGGCATAACGGCTTTATTAAAAAAATTTTGAAGATTTAAGTTCATCGATACATTTTTTCGGATTATTACTTTGAAAATTGTTGAGAATAATGATTGAAAGGCATTTTTGGCAAATTGACCTGTTCAATGCCCTTTAAACAACACAACACATGACGGTACGTCAAGCTATACTGAGGACGAATATGCTAAAAAAATCCAGATGACACCGCGAAGTAGTTGGTGTGGCCTAGGCCAAAATATATCTATAGTATCAGCAGCTATTTGAATGAAGTTTTTATTTTAGTTTTATGAACAAAAAATCCACAGGCTTCAGGTAAGACAAATTCCCTGGCTGATACAAGACAGATTTTTTGTTTTTGGATAAAAATCACACAACCAATGATCGGTAGCAGAACATCAATATTTCTATTTTTGAAAGAATTGGTATTTGAAACTTTTGTTGTTGATTTTTTATTTTAAAATCCGTGGAATTATTGACTTGCCCTCGTATTGATTGACACTACTATTCAATTATTATCTAACTAACCATATTTATCTGATCATGTACTGTAGAAGCGAACATGGCTAATGAATGTCGTGAAATGAGCATGATTATGAATGACTTGCCTATAGAATTTCTTCATATCGTGTGTTTATATATTTTTGTTGTTGTGTTTATTTGTCTAATGACCGTGATAATGAAAATCTTTGTAAACATATATAAGTGAAACAGATTATATTATTTGTAAATAATAAAAAACTCGCACATTCGTAGACAACACAGAACTACACATGATCATATGTTCTGAATTTAAAATGGAATTTTATTTATTTTTTTTTAATTTGTTTTCATTACTTATTATTATTTATAACATTTAACATTTTGCTTTGGTGCTGTTGTTAACAAAAAACGTTTTGTGATTTTTGTGGGTGTTGAATAGAAGTTTATTTTTGTTGAATTCTGTGCGTAGAAGTAGTTTTGCGTGCGATATTGTTTAAGGTTGTAATAGTAGGGCCACACCTCCTAAAATCCATTTGGATTTTGGCGATCGTGATTTTAAATTAAATGTCCAAACATAGGTGTTGCCACGTGATCTGAAAAGAAAGAAAAGATGGGGGAGAATATTATATCTTATCGAAATAGCAAATTTTTTCAGCCGTACTAACCTCGTCTTGTAAAGAGGACACTCGTACACATGATGCGTATCATGTCTCTCTTGTACACTGGCTTTAATACAAATCACTGGCATGGAACATAGCAGTTCCTTGGGATTTAACGGTACTATCGAATTCAATTGACAATCCCAACTGGCTCCATTCAAATACAGACCATGCACGAAGGCTCCATCCATAGGTGGTAATCTGGGAACAAATTAATTAGATAAGACAACTTTGATTTTTGCCTTTGTAGAACTTTATAATTAGATTTCAAGACGTATCTAATATGTTCCGATATATTCTTTTAATATTGCCAACTTTTCAGTCTATTAATTTGAAACTTATTTTTTTAAAAGGCATCATCTGCCCATCTGAACAATATTAAATACAGTAACAAAGATCATAATACAAGGGTCCTAGCAAAGTTTTGGAAGCTCATATCTCCCGAAGTATGGAATTCCAAAAAAAAAAAAAAAAAAAAAATATTTCGTTCTAATCAGCGCTTTTAGACCTATCTTTGGCAAATTTAATAAAATACGCGAACGGCCCTTTATACTTTTCCAAGGTTTTTTCATCATTAAAAATAGTCTGAACTTGGGAATTCAATACGAAAGTGTGGATCGATGACCCTCAAAAAATATAAATACAAATTATACCAAGACTTAGGTGGGCTTACTCATAAATGTCAAATCAGGTCGAAAAAATGTGGTCGCATCGACAAATGAGCTCCGATGACTCAATCAGGGCTTTTAGGCCTATCTCTGGCAAATTTAATAAAATCCGCGAACGGCCCTTTATACTTTTCCCAGGTTGATATTTGGCGTGTTTTTTTTTTTTGAACAATTTTTCCAAAGGCTCATCAAGGCCTTAAGGCGTGGATTTTTTTAAAGAATTTTTCAAAAAACCCCTCAAGGTCTTAAGGCGTGGATTTTTTTTAAAGAAATTTCCCAAAAACCCCTCAAGGTCTTAAGGCGTGGATTTTTTTAAAGAAATTTTCCAAAAACCCCTCAATGTCTTAAAGCGTGGATTTTTTAAAGAAATTTTCCAAAAACCCCTTAAGGTCTTAAGGCGTGGATTTTTTTAAAGAAATTTTCCAAGAACCCCTCAAGGTCTTAAGGTGTGGATTTTTTTAAAGAAATTTTCCAAAAACCCCTCAAGGTCTTAAGGCATGGATTTTTTTTAAAGAAATTTTCCAAAAACCCCTCAAGGTCTTAAGGCGTGGATTTTTTTTAAAGAAATTTTCCAAAAACACCTCAAGGTCTTAAGGCGTGGATTTTTTTAAAGAAATTTTCCAAAAACCCCTCAAGGTCTTAAGGCGTGGATTTTTTTAAAGAAATTTTCCAAAAACCCCTCAAGGTCTTAAGGCGTGGATTTTTTTAAAGACATTTTCCAAAAACCCCTCAAGGTCTTAAGGCGTGGATTTTTTTAAAGAAATTTTCCAAAAACCCCTCAAAGTCTTAAGGCGTGGATTTTTTTAAAGAAATTTTCCAAAAACCCCTCAAGGTCTTAAGGCGTGGATTTTTTTAAAGAAATTTTCCAAAAACCCCTCGAGGTCTTAAGGCGTGGATTTTTTTTAAAGAAATTTTCCAAAAACCCCTCAAGGTCTTAAGGCGTGGATTTTTTTAAAGAAATTTTCCAAAAACCCCTCAAGGTCTTAAGACGTGGATTTTTTTAAAGAAATTTTGCAAAAACCCCTCAAGTTCTTAAGGCGTGGATTTTTTTAAAGAAATTTTCCAAAAACCCCTCAAGGTCTTAAGGCGTGGATTTTTTTAAAGAAATTTTCCAAAAACCCCTCAAGGTCTTAAGGCGTGGATTTTTTTAAAGAAATTTTCCAAAAACCCCTCAAGGTCTGAAGGCGTGGATTTTTTTAAAGAAATTTTCCAAAAACCCCTCAAGGTCTTAAGGCGTGGATTTTTTTAAAGAAATTTTCCAAAAACCCCTCGAGGTCTTAAGGCGTGGATTTTTTTTAAAGAAATTTTCCAAAAACCCCTCAAGGTCTTAAGGCGTGGATTTTTTTAAAGAAATTTTCCAAAAACCCCTCAAAGTCTTAAGGCGTGGATTTTTTTAAAGAAATTTTCCAAAAACCCCTCAAGGTCTTAAGGCGTGGATTTTTTTTAAAGAAATTTCCCAAAAACCCCTCAAGGTCTTAAGGCGTGGATTTTTTTAAAGAAATTTTCCAAAAACCCCTCAATGTCTTAAAGCGTGGATTTTTTAAAGAAATTTTCCAAAAACCCCTTAAGGTCTTAAGGCGTGGATTTTTTTAAAGAAATTTTCCAAGAACCCCTCAAGGTCTTAAGGTGTGGATTTTTTTAAAGAAATTTTCCAAAAACCCCTCAAGGTCTTAAGGCATGGATTTTTTTTAAAGAAATTTTCCAAAAACCCCTCAAGGTCTTAAGGCGTGGATTTTTTTTAAAGAAATTTTCCAAAAACCCCTCAAGGTCTTAAGGCGTAGATTTTTTTAAAGAAATTTTCCAAAAACCCCTCAAGGTCTTAAGGCGTGTATTTTTTTAAAGAAATTTTCCAAAAACCCCTCAAGGTCTTAAGGTGTGAATTTTTTTAAAGAAATTTTCCAAAAACCCCTCAAGGTCTTAAGGCGTGGATTTTTTTTAAAGAAATTTTCCAAAAACCCCTCAAGGTCTTAAGGCGTGGATTTTTTTTAAAGAAATTTTCCAAAAACCCCTCAAGGTCTTAAGGCGTGGATTTTTTTAAAGAAATTTTCCAAAAACCCCTCAAGGTCTTAAGGCGTGGATTTTTTTAAAGAAATTTTCCAAAAACCCCTCAAGGTCTTAAGGCGTGGATTTTTTTAAAGAAATTTTCCAAAAACCCCTCAAGGTCTTAAGGCGTGGATTTTTTTAAAGAAATTTTCCAAAAACCCCTCAAAGTCTTAAGGCGTGGATTTTTTTAAAGAAATTTTCCAAAAACCCCTCAAGGTCTTAAGGCGTGGATTTTTTTAAAGAAATTTTCCAAAAACCCCTCGAGGTCTTAAGGCGTGGATTTTTTTTTAAAGAAATTTTCCAAAAACCCCTCAAGGTCTTAAGGCGTGGATTTTTTTAAAGAAATTTTCCAAAAACCCCTCAAGGTCTTAAGGCGTGGATTTTTTTAAAGAAATTTTCCAAAAACCCCTCAAGGTCTTAAGGCGTGGATTTTTTTAAAGAAATTTTCCAAAAACCCCTCAAAGTCTTAAGGCGTGGATTTTTTTAAAGAAATTTTCCAAAAACCCCTCAAAGTCTTAAGGCGTGAATTTTTTTAAAGAAATTTTCCAAAAACCCCTCAAGGTCTTAAGGCGTGGATTTTTTTAAAGAAATTTTCCAAAAACCCCTCAAGGTCTTAAGGCGTGGATTTTTTTAAAGAAATTTTCCAAAAAGAATTTTTTTTAAAGAATTTTTCCAAAAACCCCTCAAGGTCTTAAGGTGTGGATTTTTTTAAAGAAATTTTCCAAAAACCCCTCAAGGTCTTAAGGCGTGGTTTTTTTTAAAGAAATTTTCCAAAAACCCCTCAAGGTCTTAAGGCGTGGATTTTTTTAAAGAAATTTTCCAAAAACCCCTCAAGGTCTTAAGGCGTAGATTTTTTTAAAGAAATTTTCCAAAAACCCCTCAAGGTCTTAAGGCGTGGATTTTTTTAAAGAAATTTTCCAAAAACCCCTCAAGGTCTTAAGGCGTGGATTTTTTTAATGAAATTTTCCAAAAACCCCTCAAGGTCTTAAGGCGTGGATTTTTTTAAACAAATTTTCCAAAAACCCCTCAAGGTCTTAAGGCGTGGATTTTTTTAAAGAAATTTTCCAAAAACCCCTCAAGGTCTGAAGGCGTGGATTTTTTTAAAGAAATTTTCCAAAAACCCCTCAAGGTCTTAAGACGTGGATTTTTTTAAAGAAATTTTCCAAAAACCCCTCAAGGTCTTAAGGCGTGGATTTTTTTAAAAAAATTTTCAAAGTCTGATTGTGGTCTTAAGGCGTGGATTTTTTTAAACAAATTTTCCAAGGCTCATCAAGGCCTTAAGGCGTGGATTTTTTTTAAAGAATTTTTCCAAAGGATTTTTTAAAAGAATTTTTCCAAAGGCTTATCAAGGCCTTAAGGCGTGGAGTTTTTTAAAGAATTTTTCCAAAGGCTCATCAAGGCCTTAAGGCGTGGATTTTTTTAAAGAATTTTTCCAAAGGCTCATCAAGGCCTAAAGGCGTGGATTTTTTTAAAGAATTTTTCCAAAGGCTCATCAAGGCCTTAAGGCGTGGATTTTTTTAAAGAAATTTTCCAAAAACCCCTTAAGGTCTTAAGGCGTGGATTTTTTTAAACAAATTTTCCAAAAACCCCTCAAGGTCTTAAGGCGTGGATTTTTTTAAACAAATTTTCCAAAAACCCCTCAAGGTCTTAAGGCGTGGTTTTTTTTAAAGAATTTTTCCAAAGGCTCGTCAAGGCCTTAAGGCGTCGATTTTTTAAAAGAATTTTTCCAAAGGCTCATCAAGGCCTTAAGGCGTCGATTTTTTAAAAGAATTTTTCCAAAGGCTCATCAAGGCCTTAAGGCGTGGATTTTTTAACATAATTTTTCCAAAGGCTTATCAAGGCCTTAAGGCGTGGAGTTTTTTAAAGAATTTTTCCAAAGGCTCATCAAGGCCTTAAGGCGTGGATTTTTTTAAAGAATTTTTCCAAAGGCTCATCAAGGCCTTAAGGCGTGGATTTTCTTTAAAGAATTTTTCCAAAGGCTCATCAAGGCCTTAAGGCGTGGATTTTTTTAAAGAATTTTTCCAAAGGCTCATCAAGGCCTAAAGGCGTGGATTTTTTTAAAGAATTTTTCCAAAGGCTCATCAAGGCCTAAAGGCGTGGATTTTTTTAAAGAATTTTTCCAAAGGCTCATCAAGGCCTTAAGGCGTGGATTTTTTTAAAGAATTTTTCCAAAGGCTCATCAAGGCCTTAAGGCGTGGATTTTTTTAAAGAATTTTTCCAAAGGCTCATCAAGGCCTTAAGGCGTGGATTTTTTTAAAGAATTTTTCCAAAGGCTCATCAAGGCCTTAAGGCGTGGATTTTTTTAAAGAATTTTTCCAAAGGCTCATCAAGGCCTTAAGGCGTGGATTTTTTTAAAGAATTTTTCCAAAGGCTCATCAAGGCCTTAAGGCGTGGATTTTTTTAAAGAATTTTTCCAAAGGCTCATCAAGGCCTTAAGGCGTGGATTTTTTTAAAGAATTTTTCCAAAGGCTCATCAAGGCCTTAAGGCGTGGATTTTTTTAAAGAATTTTTCCAAAGGCTCATCAAGGCCTTAAGGCGTGGATTTTTTTAAAGAATTTTTCCAAAGGCTCATCAAGGCTCTAAGGCGTGGATTTTTTTAAAGAATTTTTCCAAAGGCTCATCAGGGCCTTAATGTGGGGATTTTTTAAAGAAATTTTCCAAAAACCCCTCAAGGTCTTAAGGCGTGGATTTTTTTAAAGAAATTTTCCAAAAACCCCTCAAGGTCTTAAGGTGTGGATTTTTTTAAAGAAATTTTCCAAAGGCTCATCCAGGCCTTAAGGAGTGGATTTTTTTAAAGAATTTTTTCCAAAGGCTCATCAAGGCCTTAAGGCGTGGATTTTTTTAAGAATTTTTCTAAAGGCTCATCAAGGCCTTAAAGCGTGGATTTTTTTTAAATTTTTTCTAAAGGCTCATCAAGGCCTTAAAGCGTGGATTTTTTTAAAGAATTTTTCCAAAGGCTCATCAGGCCTTAAGGCCTTAAGGCGTGGATTTTTTAAAGATTTTTTCCAGAGGCTCATCAGGGCCTTAAGGTGGGGATTTTTTTAACGAATTTTTCCCGAGGCTCAACAGGGCCTTGAGTCGTGGATTTTTTTAAAGAATTTTTCCAGAGGTTCATCAGGGCCTTAATGTGGGGATTTTTTTAACGAATTTTTCCAGAGGCTCATCAGGGCCTTAAGGTGCGGATTTTTTTATAGCATTTTTTCAAAGGCTCAAGGACCTAAAATCGCAAACTACCCATGTAGAGTTGTTTAACAGAGAATGATAATAGATGGTGCCCAACATGTGGCCCGATATTGTTTAATACCGACTACTGTGAAGATACGGTGGAGTTTCTAACGAAATACAAAAGTGAATGCTTTGGATATCATGATTGGGTGGGTGAAATGTGGCGGTACAAACGGTCGGAAGGTCTACTTTAGTGCCACCTAAAAGGGAGTGGTAACAGTTGCCACCCAACGAGGCGTACGATATTGCCCTGATGCAGCGCTACGGGGGTTCCAACAAAATACAGAGTGTTAACAAATGGGGCCCAAAATCGGGTAGGATGGTGTTCCAAACAAAAAACTATGATGTTCCAAGAAATTACTCTAAAGGTCCCCTCGAGCGCCGTCTAACAGGGAATGTTAAAAAATCGCGCCTAACGTGGGACACGGACGTGTTATAGTATTGTACTACCTAATGCGGCGCTACAGGGAGTTTCCAAAAATACGACACGTACCACATATACCACATACTGCGGTGGGGTTCCAACAAAATATGTGAGATTATAACGCTAATGACAAAAAGGCACCTAATAGGGATTGGAAACGTATGGCGCCCAACGTGGAGCACGATTGTGTTATATCCCACCTACTGCGGCGGAGTTCCAACAAAATATGAAGGTGGGTTTGGTGACCATTTGAATTCGTAATCCGCAGCTTCTATTACTATTTATTTAAATCTACACACCAACTAAATTATATACTCACGTTATACTCTCCACATCCTTTTTGGTAACCTCACAGCATAGACACATGCGATCCAAGGGGAGATCATGCTTCCTAGCACTCTCCTGCATAATGGCCGTTAAAAAACTCTGCGGATTAAACAGCCCACCCAACCATATGGTGCAGGGTAATTTAAAATCATTCAACCACAATGACAGTTCTTTAATACGATGTAGTAGATCGGCAAACCAACTTTGCAGGCCCAACATACTGGGATAGGCTAAATTAGTCCATGACTCGGGCACATGATCATAGAACAAAGAATGATCTAAATGTTCCATATCCGAAGTAATAGTTAATTCACCCTTCAGTCCCAACATCAATTCACGCAGGGATCTCTTTATTTCTTGAATTAAAGCATTCATGCGTTCGCATTCTTGCAGGGCCACCACTACGAAGGGGGTTTTACGTTCAATGCGATTAAGGAGTGCGTGCAGATTGAATTCCACTTGCAGTTTGTCGAGAAAATCTTCAGCCATAATTTTTACCAATTCCTCACGGGGAGCACTGCAGGTTGTGGTGAGTTCCGATTGACGGGGTTGCAATTCGAAAACAGTTTTCAGTAACTGTTCCGAGGCACTGGTGAGAAAGCCAATTTCTGCATTCGGATGTAGACCATAGAGCAGGGGCGATTCATCGGGTAACATTTCATCGATGTATTTGTGATAACCTTGAAAATCTAAGTTGGGTGGTGAAGGAAACCCTGGGCAGAGTTCCAAATCCCCATCAACTAAATCCTGCTGCAACAATTCCGCCAAATATGTTTGACACAAACGACGATCCCAATCATCGGTAATGTGACCTCCATACATTATTTCACCGAATAGATAACGCAGATCTTCCCAAGGTATACGATTACTGCCCTCCAAGTAGTTGTGGAGTACCGAGGCGGATATTGTCAAATCGCCCACATTGAAGGGGTACACCTTATTCCAACCCAATGGACCAAATTTTCTTCGCTGACCTGCCACTGCATGGAAATAACATAGGGCAAATAATATCGATTTAAATTCCGCCTCCTGGGTACAACTTTCCAGGGTTTCCTGGGAGAAGTTATCCCATGCCTGATGCATGTTGGCAGCCATCCCGGAAGGAGGTTCATTGACAATTTTCAGGGAGGATTCCAAAATGCCTTGGGGTATAATGTGATATTGTGGATCTGGTGCAGGTTCGGCACTAATGAATAATCGGAAATTGCTGTTGAGGAAACTTTCCGGTTGATTGGTAAGACGTTCGATAAGTTTCTCCAGGGTGGGTAACCAATTCGCAACCAGGTGGATATTTTGAAATACCACCCATTGATTGCCGGAGGTAAGGGCTTGCTGCAGAGCCTGTTCGGCTAACATTTCTTGACCCTGGCCCAGGGAAATATTTAATAAGTTATTGTTGTTCGAAGTGAAGCCCATTTGCTGGCCTAAACGTTCAACATCGTAAATGGGGTCGACTCCCGGGCAGAGCACGAAAAATATAGGAGTAGCTGCAGTAACTTCGTTGAAGATGTCGGAGAATTGGAATGTCTTGACACTGGAATACTGCCGACCCATGGTCTGTTCCACGAAGAGTCTGGAAGGAAAAGAGAGGAGTTTTAAAGAATATTTTTTCAAGGTCTATTAGAGGCGTGGAAAGGTCCTGTTTTTAAAGGTAGAATCCGATAGACTTAGATGGCCTTACTTACCTTATTGCACTCGTAACACGATCCGGCCTCAGAGCCCTTATAATACACAATTTTTGCAATGGTGTCCTGTGCTTCCATTCCCCTGGGAACTGCTCACATTCCGGCAAATCACTTGCCACAAATTTTCTCCAACGCTTCGGGTAATTTTCAATATCCTTATCAATGCCATAGAAATTATCCATCAATGCCAGCGACTTTATACCACCCCAGGCAGTACGTCCAACAAAATCCACAGGCGGCAAAGTGTTCGGATCATGAGGAAATCGTAACAAAAAATCCAATTCATCACGGGAAATTTGTTCTGAAGCTGACATTATTCTCAAGGTCATGTGGGCGGTAAATGTCAACTTGTCGACCTCGAAGAGCCCCCGCAAAGCAAAATAAAAGGTTTGTGAGGTTATGGCTTCGACGAGAGCGGCAACTCGGCGTTCATTTACCCGGTGTGTTGGTGCTGAGATTATGGCCTGTTTGAAAACCTGCATAAATGATTTCAAGGAGAAACGATAAATCGGATTTATGCGACTCAAATCGGAGAGTACAAAATAGAGGATGGATGCCCGCTTCGCAGCCGTTCGATACATATTACGAGCTTCATCTATTTGCAGGGTGGTAATGCGAGCCTCATTCACCTTCACTTCAATTTCATCAACTGTCTGCTTCGTGGATTCCAAATTGGAAACTAGCTCATGATCATCGAGGACATTTTCTCCAGCTGAGGCTAAGCGGGCCAAGAGGTCATTTTCCAAATGTTTTAGGGAAATTTTGAATTTATTCTGCTGTATCGTAACATTGGTTTTCATTTCTTCCAAATCGGGTCTTTCGATTTTTACCACTTCTGCCAGTAGTTGCTCCTCTAGGCCATCTTGGGTAACGGTGAAATTAATCAGTGTGGTCTGGGCCTGCATTTCAGGTTTATAGTGGGGATTTGCCAATTTGGTGTGTAGGATTAATCGGAAATTTGGATTGAAGTCCAATTCCTTGTCGCCCAGGCGTATAAAGCGTCCACGTTTGATTAAAGCCCGACTTAACAGAGGTTCGAGTACGGTATCCACAGATTCCTCAATTTGTTCAAGGAGGACAGTATCACCATTTCCCATTGCCTTTTCAAGGGTCTCCAGGAAATGTTTTTGGCTGAGACGCAGGACCACCAACTTGTCGCCATAACGATTTTTGATCCATTTGATGCCTTGTCTAGGAAGAAAAAAATTCGATAAGTTCGGTCGGAATGCTAAGGCGTGGATTAAAAAAAATATTTTTCGTGGATTATGACATAAAATCTGCTTACAATTGCGGATCGATCATCAGTGGCCACCGCGTTGAATGCACCAATATTGTAGCATTCTCTGTGGACATACGATCCATGGGCAAACCTTCATTATTCCAGGTGGCAATTTGTGCATCATCCGTAAACAAGGCCAAATAATCCACACCATCCGTGTGCGGAATGGCTGGCTATAATCAAATGTTTACACACTCAATTCAATCAGGCCATAAAAATCTCTTAAGAACCAAGAGGGGAAAAACTTTCACTTACCTCTATCCGTCGAAAGCTTGGCAGCCACATTTGCTGTTGCAGCTCCTCACGATAACGACGTGTAAAACAACCAGCATACGATAGAAAAGAGGAAATTAGCAGGATATCACCAGGTAGTGTAGCACTTTTTGATTGTAAACTTTTTGTGTTTTGGGTCATCAGGGATAAGGTATACAATTCCGACGACAGCCAAACAAGCAACCAACCAACCAGTCAGCCAGCCATCGAACAAGAAAACATCACGACCACCCGCCAAGGATTATGGAAGTCATTTTTATGTTTACGAAGATGTTGTTTGAAAGCAGTTGACAGTTCATATTGACAGTCAATGTTGTAACATTTTGAAAACAAACAGGAAATAGAAAAATGAAATCATATATTTCATGGTTTTTAGGGCGAACAAGAACAGCAAAATTCCAATCCCCTTCCCTCCCAGGCTACAACATCCCAGAAATGATGTTGGCTTTTTCCAATAAACTTAAGTGTTCATAGTTTCCGGCAATGGCGCTGTGCACCAGAAGTGCTAACAAATGACAATTGTGGCAAATGGGTACCAATTGTTCAATATTTGAACATTGTTAAATAACAGCAGCAACAACAACTACATGTCAATTTTGGTAAATAAAATGAAACAAGGGGGAGTTTTTGGGGTGCTCAAAAGGAAATCTTAGAACGGAAGTAGAAAATGGCGATGAATTTAAAAATTTTGTTAAGTGTTTGGTTAGAAAATTAAATTGTTATGATTCATGCCTTCGATCCTGGTTAAAAAAATTAAATTGGTTGTCGAATAGGTCCGTATTTAAAGGTTCTAACTGTATTTATACCCTAAACAACTATGTTGTGAGGGTATTATAGCTTTGTGCAGCCCCAAGAGTTTGTAATGCAGCGAAATATTGATATATAGACCCATCTAAGTCGATCTAGACATGTGTGTCCGTCCGTCTGTCCATTATAATTTGGAACGATACAGGCCACAGTTATGGGCCAATATTCACGAAATTTTGCATGTAGGATGGGTTCTGGCCAATGAAGACCCCTATTGTTTTTGGTAATGATCAGTTAATATTTAGCGGATAAAATGGACCATGAAATGATTTTCTGGTTGCTCCAGAGGCCACAAATATAAGCCAAACATTTGTAGATGGAGAAGGAAATCGGGCCAAAGAATAAGGACGCCGGTTTTGGAAAATGACAAAAGTTATATATTTTTACCCCTGAAGGACATAGACCCGAGAAGTTTATAGTATATCCAAGAGTAGTGGTTGACCTTTAAATTGATACCAACTATATATAGTCGTATGTACTTGGGTGTGGGAGTTATACTTAAATATTTACGTATTCATATATTCATATTTACATATTCATATAACCACACTAGAGGGCGGAACATCGCAACATAACCCACGGTGAAGCGAATCTGGACAAGTAAGGGCTGTACTGAATATTAGGAATATTTGTTGAGTTCTAGTCGGCCAAGAGCAAATATCGCTAAATATTGCCCAAGTTCAGAATATAGAATCACAGAAAGTTAGACTATATTGCTCCGCTCGCTGGTTTTAAATCGAATTGGTTGTAATTTAGAATTTTATGCTCTCAGAGGGTAGACATACTTGTAACAGATTTTTTTTTTTTTGAATAACCCACAAAGAACCCTGTCGTATTTTTTAACCGAAGTGGCTATAATTTGTAATTTAGGGTTCCCAAGCGTTCAATTAATGTCTGTCATATTTTTATGGTTTTCAGGTCTTGTCTGCGTTTTCTAATCGAAGTCGCATTTCGGGTTCTGAGAAAATAATAAACTTAAGACTTGTCAATATAGGTCCACATTAAGACACATGTGACTCCACCACATGTTATGTCTATTGAATATATGGAGCTACACCATTTTTAACATAGTTCCAATATAATTATTTTGTACAATTCACAGGTCTCGATCGTTTTAATGAAGTTTTCTGCGACACCTCGAAATATTCACCTAATGCCCCTAAATTATTGGTGTCGATTTAGACATGACTGTCCGCCTGTCTGCAATATTTCATATAGAGCTTTGAAATTTTGTACATACATTGCTACCTCTCCACTTTTTAGGGTAGTCCCTATATAAAGGTACCACAAATATTCGGTATTATGAAGTTATGGGCAAGTTTATCAATCAACAACAGTTAAGTTTTTTCAATATTGATAAATTTTTTTACGGAAGCCCCCATGTAACGCTGCATCTCAAATGTCGGTATTTTAGGGAGTTCAGAAATTGGCTGTAATTTTATATTTTGTGTTTTCATTGTTTCTACTCAAAAAATTATCAGTATTGGACCAATTTTCCGGTATAGGTAATTTGGGAAGTTTTTCAACCGAATCGGCTCGAAATGAATTTTTCTGGTATTCAATTTCCTATTAAAAATTATCGATATCGATTTACATTTTGGTATAGCTCACATATAATTTTCGGTACCATCGAGTCGTTGGCTATGTTATTTCGGAACATTAGAGGGAATAATTGTCTTTAAGGTCCAAGATTTGAATAATATTTTTTGACAGAAATTATTCAATTCAAGGTTTTTTTTTAAATAAATTAAATAGACCCCATACAGATATGCCGTTTAATTCTTAATATGTTGAAGTTCCCGATCGATTTAAGAAATAAAGTCATAACCGTGAATAGGGTGATTTTAAGAGCTGGTTTAGTTTTCATACCAAGTATGTTGTGGTAGGTAATTGTGGATTTGATTCTCAAAGCTAGACAAGTATATCGATATTGGCCTATACGATGTGGTTAGTTGTAGAAAGAAACATTTGGAGAGTTCCAATTTACCTTCATGGATATATAACGTCAAGCTGTAATCGCTGCATTTGGCATCGATCATTTTGGAATTTTCTGTATTCTAGTGGTTCGGCGTAATGCTGATAGGCCGAATAATGCATTGAGAAGAGTATCATTAGGAAATTTGTAACAGTGGTACACCGGATGGTGTCTATCTTGTAAAATTTAGATTAATCCGAGCTAACCTAGTGTCTTATGCTATACGTGGCAAGTTTTTATCAAAAATATCCGACAACAACTCTGTACCTTTATTGAGGTCTACAGTAAAACATTGACCTATTTTAAAAATATCCAAAGAGGAAAACTTTTTTTCCTCCAAGAACACGAAAATGAGTCTATAACTTCTAAAATATCTGCAATGAGGCGGGAACTTTTATAAGACATGCTCTGAAACATGATAAGTAGGATCATTTTTGAAGACATCCCATTCAGCGACGCCCCAGGTATAAGCTTCAAAATAAGTAAAATAATAAGTAATTTAATACATTTGGCTGAGCCCTCCAACATGATGTAGCCGTTTAAAATACCTGTAATCGTTCGAGATCTTCATAAATGGTGGGCTATGCCGTGGAAAATTATTGGTAGGAAGATTCGACATCCAATGAAAACCAAATTAGAGTCAATTAGGTTAAAAAATCCTCAACATAGCGACCGATATAGTAGTACTATCCAATGATAAAATGAATCCCATTTCATCGGGGGCTATCCCAAAAAGTGGACCCTTATCGATCATTTTCGGTAGGGAGGTTTGCTACCCAATGGAAACTCAAATTATTCGGTATTTTGTGGTTCAATACGTAGACCGATATACCATTTTCAGTACTAAACATCTTAGAAGTAGTAACAAGGTATGTGAAAAATGTCAAAGCTATATATTAAATATTTTGAGTTTTATGGTGATTTCAACAGACAGGCAGAAAATAGGACATACATTGGCGTAGACTTTTTTGTTGATCAAGAATATATATAATATATCAGGTCTCCGGTAAATATTTCGAGATGTTGCAAACGTAATGACAAAATTAATATACATTCCACCTTATGATTTAATCCCTACGATGTCATCTTCAGCTTATGAAAATGATAGCAAATCCCTAAAATCGTTTTTCTTACCTTTGAATCGATTCCCGCCACCGTTCATTTTCATTAGCCAAACCATTAACCAAGCGATGGGCCAAATCTATTGTAAATGTAGTCTTATCCGCTTCCTGTTGGCATTTTTGTTTCGAAGCTATGGCATCTTCAAATTCCGATTGAATTTCGCTGAGCTTTCGTTCTAAATCATTAATTTTCTGCTTCAAGTAATCCAAACGTTGCCTCGCCTCGGCCAATTCATTTTGAGAATCTTTGAGAGCCTGTTGTTTTGGACCAACGACCAAGAAAACTTGATGATAACGATGGATGTTAATGACCCAGGCGCAAAGACCTGCGGCGGCTACGGACTTTTGTACAATTTTATCGGGATTGAATTCGGGATCCTGAAATAAAAAATATGCGAAGAAGGGGTGTTTATAATAAAAAAAGAGAAGTGTCTTTGTTGTTACCTTCAAATACCCCTGCAGGACCTCAATGATATTCGGATGTATATTATCCTTGTTGTAATTGACCAAATCGTTGAGGAATTGATCGACCCGCACCATCATCAATTTAGCAGCCTTCCAGCTACGATCCCGCGGTATTTTACCATTATTGGCAAAGAGCACCATAACCGCAGCACAAACATTAACCACGGCCTTGGGTGGCGAACCAAATGATTTCAACTCCGTTAGATTATTTTTATTCAAGGTGTTTAGAGCTGCCTGGGCCGCTACCAAGGCCGGTTCAGCCTTCCGTAAATCTTCTTCACACATTTTCGTTTTAATACAAACATCCTCTTCTATGATTCGTACTCGCTTCTCTTCCTCGGAGGCGATATGTTTTTCATATTTCACCTTTTCACTTTCGGCACTGACAATCAGTATCAGTTTGTCGGCAGCAGCATTTTTGGCAGTCAATTGAATTTCCTGCACAGCTAATTGATTCTGATGAAACCAAGAAGAAAAAATAAATGCTTTATAAGAAACCGGATGACATACCATGGATACCAGGGTTGGCTGCCAACCGATCTATGGACTGATTCATTTATTTCTTCGTTCGTTCACTAAATGTGTCTTTAATCAAAAGATTAATAACAAAAGTGCCGAGAAGGTAATGTGCGGGATAGCTACGTGTTCTGCTATATATAACAGCATAGTACATATGTTCCCATACATATATACTTATGTATGTATATAGATGGATTGTGGTTTTCCAAGATAAAATTGTAAAATGCAGTCAGAGGATGAAAATGAAAATTAATTAAAATCGAAAACTGAAATGTGTGAAATATAAATACGGAGGTTATCAGGATATACAAGGGAGGAAAATGGTAGCACCGATTTTATTTAATAAAGAATATTTTTTTCAGGGATCCTGTTAAGGCGTGGATTTTTTAAAGAATACTTTTTTAGGGTCTTGTAAAGGCGTGGATTTTTTAAAAATTATTTTTTAAGGTCCTGTTAAGGCGTGGATTTTTTAAAAATTATTTTTAAGGTCCTGTTAAGGCGTGGATGTTTTAAAGATTATTTTTTAAGGTCCTATTAAGGCGCGGATTTTTAAAGATTTTTTTATGGTCCTGTTAAGCCGTGGATTTTTTAAAGATTATTTTTTAAGGTCCTGTAAAGGCGTGGATTTTTTAAAGATTATTTTTTAAGGTCCTGTAAAGGCGTGGATTTTTTAAAGATTATTTTTTAAGGTCCTGTTAAGGCGTGGATTTTTAAAGATTATTTTTTAAGGCCCTGTTAAGGCGTGGATTTTTTAAAGAATACTTTTTTAAGGTCCTTGTAAGGCGTGAATTTTTTTAAAGAATACTTTTTTAAGGTCCGGTTATGACGTGGATTTTTTAAAGAATACTTTTTTAAGGTCCGGTTATGACGTGGATTTTTTAAAGAATATTTTTTCAAGGCTCAGCTAGAGGCGTGGATTTTTTAAAGAATATTTTTTCAAGGCTCAGCTAGAGGCGTGGATTTTTTTAAAGAATATTTTTTCAAGGCTCAGCTAGAGGCGTGGATTTTTTAAAGAATATTTTTTCAAGGCTCAGCTAGAGGCGTGGATTTTTTAAAGAATATTTTTTCAAGGCTCAGCTAGAGGCGTGGATTTTTTAAAGAATACTTTTTCAGGGTCTACTAGAGGCGTGGATTTTTTAAAGAATATTTTTTCAAGGCTCAGCTAGAGGCGTGGATTTTTTAAAGAATATTTTTTCAAGGCTCAGCTAGAGGCGTGGATTTTTTAAAGAATATTTTTTAAAGGCTCAGCTAGAGGCGTGGATTTTTTTAAAGAATATTTTTTCAAGGCTCAGCTAGAGGCGTGGATTTTTTAAAGAATATTTTTTCAAGGCTCAGCTAGAGGCGTATATTTTTTCAAGGCTCAGCTAGAGGCGTGGATTTTTTAAAGAATATTTTTTCAAGGCTCAGCTAGAGGCGTGGATTTTTTAAAGAATATTTTTTCAAGGTACAGCTAGAGGCGTGGATTTTTAAAGAATATTTTTTCAAGGTACAGCTAGAGGCGTGGATTTTTTAAAGAATATTTTTTCAAGGTACATCTAGAGGCGTGGATTTTTTAAAGAATATTTTTTCAAGACTCAGTTAGAGGCGTGGATTTTTTAAAGAATATTTTTTCTAGGCTCAGCTAGAGGCGTGGATTTTTAAAGAATATTTTTTCAAGGCTCAGCTAGAGGCGTGGATTTTTTAAAGAATATTTTTTCTAGGCTCAGCTAGAGGCGAGGATTTTTTAAAGAATATTTTTTCATGGCTCAGCTAGAGGCGTGGATTTTTTAAAGAATATTTTTTCTAGGCTCAGCTAGAGGCGTGGATTTTTTAAAGAATATTTTTTCAAGGCTCAGCTAGAGGCGTGGATTTTTTAAAGAATATTTTTTCAAGGCTCAGCTAGAGGTCCTTTTAAGGCGTGGATTTTTTAAAGAATATTTTTTCAAGGCTCAGCTAGAGGTCCTTTTAAGGCGTGGATTTTTTAAAGAATACTTTTTTAAGGTCCTGTTAAGGCGTACATTTATTGAAGAATTAAGAACTCCCGTGAATTCTTATTAACATAGTGTGCTCTATATTTGCCCATGTGTGTGTTATGACCTGCAGCATTTTACTAATTTAATGTCATTCGCGGTTTTTCATGTTAACGGTGTGGGAGGAGCCCGATGAAATGATGAGACAAAGGAGGTGTGAATCGAACAGCAAATGCGACAATGAGACCTAAAGTCATAGATTAACTTATGTGCGGATTTCGTAAATGTGTATAACACATTGTGTATATGTGTGAGTGTATGTGCCAATAGAAACCCATTTAAAGATGTGTGAACTTCTCTGCTGTTTTACACTAATTGCAATGTGAGTTCAAAGGTTTCCGAAAATATTTATGGCTTCGGCCTTCGATTGTGTTTCCCACCCCACCATTCCACTTACCTTTAGGGTATCAACTTGGCTGGCACATTCTGCCAATTTGGCCATGCCGCTCTGCAGCCGTTGTATGCGTCTCGTATGTTCGCCACTACGGTCGACCAATAATTTGCGGTACAGGAAAATATATTCCAGAAAGGTCTTTGGGGTTGTGTAGTTGTAACGTTTTTCGTTTTGTAAATAAATCTTGGATATTTGATTCACGGTGCCATGTACATAGGCCATGAAACAGCCAATGGGTTCAATGAGAGGGGGCTGGGGAAAGAAATTTTTTTTTATGGTGGGTGTGGTAAAGACATGACCCTGGACAATATACAATATGTTCAGTAAGGTGATGATATGACTGATATTTTTACATCATGGTCCAGTGGTGATGATGTGGTCAGATAGAGAGTACCTAGAAGGCACATCGAGGAGGATATGTATTGGTGGTTGTTTACTTACTTACCGGCAAAATACCATTGTCTATTTCACCCAAAAATTGTTGTGACACTGACTGCAGCGCCGTCTTCGGCCATTCATGAAACCAATCGATTGTGGTCTGTGTCAGGATGGCGGGAAATTTCCTAGCCCTTACCCTCAAAGCCTGGCCGACGGGTGAAAAACACAAAATTAAACGCAGCAGCCGTCGAACCTTCTCGACAAAGAAACGCCAACAATTTTCACGAGTATCCAGTGTGCCGGACTGTTTCACTTCATTGCGTATCCCATTGACAATGACTTCCATTTGATCGTCGGCAAAAAGTTCTGGTATCTCTCCGGTTGCCAGTAAATCATTGATGAGCATTAGTAAATTTTCCTCGGGTAATTGGGCATCGGACATTAGAAATACGGATGCCACATTTTTCAGGCCAACTTTCATGCAAAGCGCTGCAATGTCTTCCTTCATATCCTGCAGGCCATAGCCACGTTTGATTTGTATCTGGCATACGCTGAACGAGGAAATAAAGGAGGCCAGACGGGCTAGTGTTTGTTTGCCGGAGCCGCCAACACCCACAAGTAAGGCATTGTTGCGGGGACTTTCCAATATGCGATTAATGCTGGAATTAATGAATTATCGATTGCTTTAAATAAGTGTAGATTTTTTAGAGAACAGACGTGAATTTTTAAAGATTTTTTGCTCAAGAACTATTCTTCAAGGACTATTGGATCCTTAGGCGTGGATTTTAAAAAAATTTCCTCAAGGACTATTGGATCCTTAGGCGTGGATTTTAAAAAAATTTCCTCAAGGACTATTGGAACCTTAGGCGTGGATTTTTAAAGAATTTTTCCTCAAGGACTATTGGAACCTTAGGCGTGGATTTTTAAAGAATTTTTCCACAAGGACTATTGGAACCTTAGGCGTGGATTTTTAAAGAATTTTTCCTCAAGGACTATTGGAGCCTTAGGCGTGGATTTGTAAAGGATTTTTCTCAAGGGCTATTGGAGCCGTAGGCGTGGATTTTTAAAGTAATTTTATCTCTAGGTCCATTACAAACATAGGCGTGGAATTTTAAAGTAATTTTATCTCTAGGTCCATTACAAACATAGGCGTGGATTTTTAAAGGATTTTTCTCAAGGGCTATTGGAGCCATAAGCGTGGATTTTTAAAGTAATTTCCCTCAAGGAATATTTCGCTAAGAAATTAGTGTATTTTCTAAAGTTCTATTATTTTGTTGTTGTTACACTTACCGACATACATGTTTCATGGCATCTTCGAAAAGCACCAGATTCATATAGCCAATAACTTCATTATAGCTCGCCTGGGCCTCCATTAACAGCTGATATAGTGCCTGCCAATTTTTCAACGGCATATATTTCTGATCGGCCAGAGATTGAGCAAAGTGGCAATATATCAAGGGATCTGAGAATACAAAATCCTCATCGAAATCTTCAAAATCTTTTTTGAAAATATCTCTTATGGCCGAATTGAAGGCCTTGATATCATAAGGATCTACCAGGCGGTCATTATAGGTACGATATGCCTCATGGACATATAGGCGTATAAGATCTGAAGGCTTCGAACAGACGGTACCACCCAAGGAGGTTATATTTCCAACATTATTAGCCTCAGCGGGTACACCACAACTATTCATTAGACCCTGGTAGATATTTGTTAAATCACGCATATTGAAGATGTAATGGAATTTTACGGCAGTCGGTAGAAATGAGGCCTCCATTCGGCGATGTAAAGCTATACCAACTCGTACCAGGAGTGGTGCAATGGATTTGATTTCTTTGCTAAAAGTATTCAAAGGGTTGTCGAGGTGTGTGGATAAAATTCTTCCGTAAATATATTGGAGTGTAGCTTCGCTAGGTGGTGCCACTGAGAAGACGCAGAAATGTCTCTGCAAACGAGGATCGATGGTGAAAGACCCAGCCGTGGGATTCATGCAGCCCACAAATTGACAGTTGCGTATATTTTTCAATTGTAAACATTGGCGATCGTACCTGAAAATAGAAATAGAAGAAGACATTTAGATTGTATTGTTACCTCAGAACAAAAATATTAAAAATCTACTCCTAAGATGGGTATAGAGCCCCCGGAAATATTCTTTAAAAATCCACACTTAAGGTCGGAATAGAGCTTCAGAAAATATTCTTAAAAACTCACTCCTAATGTGGGTATAGAGCCCCCGGAAATATTCTTTAAAAATCCACACTTAAGGTAGGAATAGAGCCTCAGAAAATATTCTTAAAAAATCCACGCCTATGGTAGGAATAGAGCCTCAGAAAATATTCTTTAAAAATCCACTCCTAAGTTGGGAATAGAGCCTATATTTTTTTAAAAACCTAGGCCCAAGGCTTTACTGATATCTTACAAAATATATTCTTCAAAAATCCCATCTTACCATTGCCTATAGTCCATAAATTGTCGCATAATTGTATGAGGTTGTACGGTCCCATAGGCATCCACTTCGGGCATATTCAGATCATTGATGAAGTAGACCAAACGTCTTTTAGCTCCCACCGGACCATAAGTGCGTCCCGACTTCTTTTCCAATGGCCGATCGAGGACTTTTTGGAAAATTTCCGATGAGGTATAATAATTGAAATGGATCGATTGAACCGTGGTGGCTAATGGCTTCAATTGGGATTGAAATGAACATCGCTGTGTTTCTATCGGGGCAGAATTTACATCCATGGCATCCAAAGCTTGGGCATACTTCGAAAATAATTCCCGAAATATTGTATTTTTACCACAACCTGAATTGCCCACCAACATGCAGGGTAAATTGCGATTTATCAGCAATTCGAGGAAGTGCATTAGGCGCACCGTTTCAAAGGTGGGTATCATGATGTTCTGAAAAATAGGAATATCAAATTAAAAAGCTTTTAAGGACCTCATTAAAAATGTACCTGTACTGGTGTTTGAAATTCCACTTGTAACGGAAGCTGACCTGCCATATCCGACCAACGTATAAATTTCTGTGTCCTCACATCCAAATGATAATCGTAGATGGTCCCCTGTGATGGTAGTTTAATATCCTTAAATTCGGTGGACCACCATTTTTGAAATTCCCGACGCCAATCGATGGTGTGATCCTGACTCAGAGATGATCCGAAAGCCCAAAGTACCGAATACACAAATATCAGCTCTAAATGTAGTTCCAAAGAGTCAGAAGGTAAACCGGCATGATGTAAACTGTGAGGGTTATTTGGGTTAAAGTTTTGTTGAAATTCCGCCTCTTCGTCCTGCTGATAGTCCAATAGACATTCCAGGAGATTGCAGGACATTTGAATGACAGCCATATCGGATATTGGAACTATGTGACGAAAATCCTGATGACGTTGTAATAACTTTGGGAAATACTTTTCAAAGAGCGTTGTGAGGATGCCACGTTCCAGCATATCGGTGCGGGTCTCCAGCCAGGATAATACATAGCTGGAAAAAAATATAAAAAAATAATAGGTAATAAGAGCCTGGGGTACCACGACAACCTTAGTCGTCGATTTTTAAAGAATATTTTCTGAGGCTTTAGTCCTGCACTAGGCGTGGATTTTTAAGGAATATTTCTTGAGGTTCTTATGGAACCTTAGGCGTGGATTTTTAAGGAATATTTCTTGAGGTTCTTATGGAACCTTAGGCGTGGATTTTTTTTTAAGGAATATTTCTTGAGGTTCTTATGGAACCTTAGGCGTGGATTTTTAAGGAATATTTCTTGAGGTTCTTATGGAACCTTAGGCGTGGATTTTTAAGGAATATTTCTTGAGGTTCTTATGGAACCTTAGGCGTGGATTTTTAAGGAATATTTCTTGAGGTTCTTATGGAACCTTAGGCGTGGATTTTTAAGGAATATTTCTTGAGGTTCTTATGGAACCTTAGGCGTGGATTTTTAAGGAATATTTCTTGAGGTTCTTATGGAACCTTAGGCGTGGATTTTTAAGGAATATTTCTTGAGGTTCTTATGGAACCTTAGGCGTGGATTTTTAAGGAATATTTCTTGAGGTTCTTATGGAACCTTAGGCGTGGATTTTTAAGGAATATTTCTTGAGGTTCTTATGGAACCTTAGGCGTGGATTTTTAAGGAATATTTCTTGAGGTTCTTATGGAACCTTAGGCGTGGATTTTTAAGGAATATTTCTTGAGGTTCTTATGGAACCTTAGGCGTGGATTTTTAAGGAATATTTCTTGAGGTTCTTATGGAACCTTAGGCGTGGATTTTTAAGGAATATTTCTTGAGGTTCTTATGGAACCTTAGGCGTGGATTTTTAAGGAATATTCTTGAGCCTTAGACGTGGATTTTTAGGGAATATTTTTGAAGGTTCTTATGGAACCTTAGGCGTGGATTTTTAAGGAATATTCTTGAGCCTTAGACGTGGATTTTTAGGGAATATTTTTGAAGGTTCTTATGAGAGGCTAGTTTGTGGATTTCAATACTCACGGTGACCATCCCAAATCCAGGGGATTAATATACAAAATCCCTGCCCTCGAAACAGTTGCCGGTGTTGCCGCTTTCAAATGACCCACTTCGAATATCAAACGCATTTCCTTCTTCAACGCAATCCTCTCATTATTCGCCAAGGTCAGAATTTTATTATCATCCATTAGGGTGTTGAGACTTTCAATCCACATCGGGTCGATATCACCATCCAGCACTATCCATTTCGGATGATCATTATTGAGATTGGCTTGCTCACGCATTATCGACGAGAATAGGCCATCCTTCCATTCTCGCGTGGTGGCATTTACCACCCCAAACAGTTCATCATTCGTCAAAGCCTTGGGGTTTAAAATACTGCAAACAGGTTTTCGTTTTTGCAGCCGATATGTCTCACGAAGTGTTTGCCAAATTTGTGTCTTTCCTGTCCCCGCATTGCCGACAATAAATACGGAATGTCGAACATCGAGTAGCTCTTGCAGTTGAACCACCTTCATGAGGAAGCCTTCTTCCGGCTGTAGTTTGATGTCGTTCACGGCTCGACGTATGATTTTCTCGAATTCAAATACTCGCTTTCGTGGTACATCCAGGGCGGGGAAGAGATCTCCTATCAGGCCCATAAATATGGAAATATCTTCGGTAACGATTTTTGGTATGTTGAAATCTCGTAAAGCCCTCATCAGAACTTGATCTTCAGGACGGCTGTGATCATCACGTTTCAGGGTGCCAGCAACGACTAGCACCGATTTGATCGCTCTCAGACCCCAATCATAATGATCCTGTTTGGATAGCAATTCCTTGCATAGGGTGTACAAGGTTATGAATTTCCTGGCCAAGAGGCGGGCATCCTGAAAACCCTCCGCCATTAACATTATTTCACAAATCAAGGCAAAATCGGGTACAATCATGGCACACGGGCGAAATAGGGATTTTAAATTTTCCGGTAACTCTGTGCGTCCTGCATAACCGGGATTCATGGTAATAAAAATTCCCACCGATGGCATCAAGGCTATTGTTTCGCCCATGAATACAAATTGGGATTTATGCATCTAAAAGATAACAGGAAAAAACAACACCAAAAATACAACATCAACAACATATTCTTGAGGTATTAAAACATGTGTATGTGTGTGTGTGACTGCTTGTTCGTGCATGTGTTTGAGGTTAAAACCACCAACCTTTATTGCCTCCTGTATGGTCTTAACTTGTACCGCAACCACAGACAGTACCTCCACGGAAATGCGATTGAACTCATCAAAGCAGCCCCATGCTCCTGTCTGTGCCAGACCTTTGTATATATTACCACAGGATTTGTAGTCCATTTGTTCGGAACAATTGAATACATAAACCATTACACCCAGTGCACGGCCCAAATCTTTTGTGGTTTCCGTTTTGCCAGTACCAGCCGGCCCGGCAGGGGCACCACCCATCACAAGATGCAATGACTTTTCATGTGAACGCGATGTGATGCGGTGCGATGCCATGCCATGCGAATGAATGCAAGGCGTTCGAAATTCCGTTGTTGTTTTTTGGGGATTCACCCATCCAGCGAAGCGATTTTTTTTTGTGCAAAAGAAAATGCAGATTCGAAAAAAATCATTAAACATAAATATGAAATATTGAAAGTAAAGCCATTTTCCGGCATTGCCAAGCCGGGCAAAGATTAAATGAAGTGAAATGAATGAGGCGAGTGAATGAGCGAACGAACGAACATTGGTTAAAAATTTGCGTGTTTTTTTCGTACAGGAATTTCCATGCTGAATGCAGATTACAAAAGGGTGGGGGCTTGGAATGCAGGGAGTTATGGGTTCAAGAGATAGTTAAATGGTGAATTTTGTTTAAGTTCGAAGCTTCTGTTACTGCTGTTCATTTGAATACTTTTTTTGTTGTTGAGGGAACAAAGATTAATGGAAAACTTTATGAAATAATTGCTGGATTATGGCGTTGGATTCATTTTTGTTAAAAGGAAATCAAATGAAATCGACTTTTTAAGCGGTTGCGAATAAAAATTGAAGAAGATTTTAAGGAAAACAAATGATGAAATCTGGTCAATTTATATAGTTGCGGATGGAATGCGGATGGGAATTGCGTGGACAGAGATTTTTGAGAGGTTTTTTGCGTTATATTGGCATTTAAGACCTCTTACTTATACTGATACTTAGGTTGATATTAATTTTGGACAGGTGTTTTGTTTGTGTTTTAAGTTTGCCCTGGAAAGGCTTTAAATAGTCCGCCATTTGTTCCCGAGGGTCATAACTAATGACGATCGGTTAACTTAATGGAAGGTCGAACTTTTATAACCACCGCACATCCATTTTTATACCCTCCACCATAGAATGGAGGGTATATCAATTTTGTTTTTCCGTTTGCAACTCATCGACATATTCATTTCCTATGACTATATAGACATGTCCTTCTGTACGTCTGTCTGTTGTAATCACTCTAGCCTCTAATCGAATTTTGTCTGCAGACAGGTCAAGTTCGAAGATGAGCTATATCGGTCCACGTTTAGGCATAGCTCCTATATAAGGATACCAACCAAATTTCAACCGAATTCAATGAAATTTGGTACGTTGGGTACCTTTTTTCGAGTAGACCCCATTTAAGAGTACCACCAAATTTTCGAAATTTTGGAGTTCTTGAGCGCGTGTTTCAACCGAATTCGCTGAAATTTGCTACATTGAGTTGTTATTGGGTGTGGAGTAGGGGATGATAGATACCAAGCAACGGCTCTAATTGGCTTTAACATGCGAAGTCGAGGCTTATCTTTGTCCCCCTTTCATCTCAATTGTGGACACTGACCTCCCCGTGGTGCCACCTGGGGTAGCTATTTTAGTCACCCGGTGAAATATGAGCTAATATGTGACGCGAGTTCGCCCATAAGAACTTTAAAAATGGGTTGAGGCGTCGGGTTAGTTGCACACACTCTGAAAACCGAACCTACTATGAAAAAGCAAAGAAAAAGAAAACCAAACCCACCTAATGTTGACGACCCCCGCAAACGTATAAAGGACCACGTTCTGCGAATCTGCACTTGGAAAGTGCGCACGGTGTACAGAACAGGCACAGTGTTCGCTTTGGCGGATGTACTCAAAAAGTATAAAGCCAATATTTTTGTCTTACAGGAAATGCGATGGAAAGGGACTGGCGTAAGTAAATCAGAATATTACGCCCTGTATTATAGCTACCATGAATCGAGACGTGAATTTGCTGCCACCTCCGATCGAACAACGAGAAATCAAATGGATAATGTTCTGATAGACGGAAGGCATTCATCCAGGGTTTTAGACGTTTGATCGATCCGAGGAGCGAATATAGATTCGGACCACTACTTTCTAGCAGCCAAGGTTCGCCCTCGCCTTAATGTAGCAGCAAAGGTGCGATGTAATGTAACACGGAAACTCGACGTCGAAAAGCTGAAAACACAACAGGTAGCAGAGGCTTACTCCTCTCAACTTACCCACCTGCTTGACGAAAGCTCTTCTTGTCCCGATAATAGTATAGAAGCACAATGGCAAAGAATTCCCCACTCCATACATACTTTAGCAAAAGCAACACTTGTTTACCAACGAGTAAAATACCAAACCAAAGGCTTTGGTGCAAGTACATCTTCCTGTAGAGATGAAGAAGGAAACCTGGTGACAGATACAGACAGCGTGTTGTGTATCTGGAAGGAGCATTTTGCAAAGCTTCTGGTATTAAATAGTAGCGATGAAAAAGATACCCTAGAACCAATAAGAGACGACGGTATAGATTGTTTATCACCTAGCCAAGATGAGGTCAGAATAGCAATTAATAGGCAGAATAATAATAAAGCAGCAGGAGCCAATGGGTTACCAGCCGAACTATTCAAGACTGGTTGTCAGATGCTGGTCAGGAGCATGCGCCAGCTGATTAGTACAATTTGGCTAGAAGAATGCATGCCCAATGATTGGAACTTCAGCATCCTGTGGCCCGTGCACAAAATATGAGACAATACGATATGTGCCAGCTATAGAGAAATAAGTCTCCTTCCCATCGCATATAAAGTGCTATCCAGCGTGCTGTGTGAACGAGTGAAGCCAATGGTCAATGACATTATTGGACCATAACAATGCGGCTTCAGATCTGGCAAATCCACCATTGATAAGATTTCGCACTGCGCCAAATCCTGGAAAAGATCCACGAAAAACACATCGACACATTCCACCTATTCGTCGACTATAAAACCGCATTCGACAGCCCTATCCGTTCAAAGGTGTTAAAAGCCATTCCTGCAAAATTAATACGGCTGTGTAGGATAACTTTAACTGGCACAATATCAGCAGTTAACGTCGGAAAGGACCTCTCGGAGCCCATTAGTACCGAAAGAGGATTTAGACAAGGTGATAGGTTGTCGTGTGACCTTTGTTAACATCCTGCCAAAGTCGTTCTGACAGTAAACGACGAGAAGACCAAACTGATGTTATCAACGCCCAAGACGTCTAGTAGACTCGGCCCAACTGTGGAGCTTGAGAACTACAGCTTCGAGGTAGTAAAAAATGTTATTTACCTTGGTACCGTCATAAATAAAACTGATGACAACAGTTTTGAACTTTGGAGGAAAATAGTGTTGGTTAACAGATGCCACTATGGTCTCAGTCTCATGGTCAGCAGTTCAGAAACAAGGCCACATCTCGTCAGACCAAACTCACATTCTACAAGACGCTGATACTACCCGTGCTGTTATATGGATCTGAAGCATGGGTAGATACGCAAGCGACTACGTTGGATAAGGATGCCCCAGCTCAAAAGGCATATAAAAGCTATCAAACTGATGGATTACACAGAAGAGGAAAGCCACGAATTCGATGGAAAGATCCAGTGGAAGACAACATTTCGGAACATGGTCTTTCAAAGTGCAGAAGCTGCGCATAAGATCTACGCGCCTGGAAATCTTTTTTAAGCTCGACTTATGGAACAAATGTTCCGTCACCAACCAGCTAAGTAAAGTAAAGTAAAGTAAAGAAAAAACGTGGACCCATATTATCAAAGTTTCGGCGGCTGGTTTCCTTACCAACTTCTTCGTTGGGAAGTATGTAGAATTGGCATCTGCTGCTTGAGTTTTGATGCTCTATAGGAAACATGTAATTCTGTCACAATTGAATTTATGTTCCTTCACATATTCAAGGTTTTTACTATTTCATCAGAGCTTGAGGCGCCTATACACATATCATTCGGATTAATACATTGGCTAAAACCTTTAAAGTAAACAAAGTATCGTCATATGCGGACTATTCCAAAACGGGGACCTAGTGTTATTTATCGCCATTTTTTCATTCCAAACATTTCAATTTTCTATTATTAAAAAAACTCTATTGCACTGGACTTTTACTTCTCGGGGTCAATACTTTTGTTGATATAATTCGATATATTTCAAGTGAAAATCTCAAGAACTCTTGAAGATATAGCCGATTTATTGTGTCAGCATCAAGTGACGGCTGAAGGGCTTCTCAAACTTTAAACGCGTTTTTCTCTAAACATGTTTTTGCGAAAACTAATAATGCAATCGGTTCCAAATTTTGCAACGTTTCTCTGGGACTGTATAGCTCTCGTATGAACTAGGATAAAGCCAATCGGTGAAGATCTTCCTTATTTTTTTATTGTTCCCTTAAATAAATATATACTTACCTGTGTCAACGTAATATAACAACGATCTGTTAGTGGTGTTATGACCAACCTGGAAGTATTACCCAAATATTCATAGGCATAACGAAATTCCGCATCACAAATATTGGCAAAGCAATCTTCGTTGATCAGCGAATCCTCTCCTCTTTCCAACTCCGTCCAACGATGCCTTAACTGACTTTGCCATTGAAAGGCGAATGAACTATCAACCCTTGCCTGGATAATTCGCGAAACAACATCCCTCGAATGAACATCAATTGTGCAGATGGTCATAATTTTTTGACGATCTCCGGGAGTCAATTCACCCAACAGCAGATTAATCAATGAGTTTAGCTGTATTATTTGATTTTTGTGTAAATCTTTCATGGCAGCCTCGTAACCCTCCTCCATCCAGGCAAAGGCCCGATTAACATCAGCGGTCCATGAGATTTGACTGCAGCACAGGGCAACCTGGGCTGGCCAATCATTGAGCCATTTATCGCGTGGCTTTTCCGATTGCACCTGCAGAGCTTTGCTAAACAGCTGGTGTAAGGTGTGACGCATTTCGGTAATCAGTATTTGTAGCCATAGTTCAACGCGACCCTCACAGAGTATCCCATCGCAGGAGATGAAAGGTACATATTCATTATTTTCTTTGGAATACATTCCGATGGCATTATTGGTGCGATATGAGGCAAAAGAAAGCCTTAGAATGGAATCGAATAATTTAATGAAATGCCTTTCGATTATCTGCGGATTATTGCCATTGGAAAGGATGTCCAGTAAATCGGCTGAGGATATGAAGTAGAAACGAGGGAATGCTAACCGCTTTGTTTCCAAATAATTATTCAAAGCCTTTTCACAAATTAGCAGGCGTTTCTGTAGGTGCTCCAAGGCTTCGAAGACATAACGATGATCGATCACAATGTCCATGGCAATTTTGACATTTTGAATTTTTGAGAGTAGGTCAATAAATTCTTCATCAATTTCTTCGAAGAATTGCGATTCCTTAGGAAGCTGAGCCCTTATGTCGGGTGATCCAATGAAAATACATTCCAAATATACCCATTTACGTTGTACCTCAAACCAATTGGAAATGAAAAGTTCCACGCCGCTTAAAATCCGCTGCCAATAGTTGAGCTTCTCCAGCAAATAATCTACATGTTTCGATGAGGCTATATTTTGAATTTGCATTTGATTATCATCGAGGGTTTCAATGAGACCCTCCGAGACTTTAAGTAATATTATATCCTGACGTCTTTGATGTGGTTCCCGATCGAACTTAATTTGTGACCATATCGCCTTAATGTCATCTAGGATTTTGGTTACGTTCATTTCTTTTATGGCTCGGTCCACGGTGTTTCTAATTTCTTCATCGTGTTTGTGGAGTTCGAGTTTCATAAGTTCGTCCAGGGTGCTGGTGTTGTCCAGTTTGAAGGAGAGCTACAAAAAAGAAAATAGAGACATTTAAGAAGTCTGATAGCCCAGCAACGTACACAGGATTTCATTTCGGGGGGGGAGGCCGCCCCCCCCCCCTTCGTACGTCCCTGTGATAGCCCTTCAGAAATATTCTTCGCGCCTATATGTATGCTCACAAAATTATTACTTAACCAGTAAGGAAAGTAGTAAAGTCGGACGGGGCCGACTATATGATACCCTTCACCACTTTGGGTATATTCATAAGATGGAATCCTAACAGACCTCGCATTTTTTAAGGACCATTAACATGAAATTAAACATGTCATTCTGCAACCTATACTAAATTTTGGTCAGATATAGAGTTGCTTCTTACAATGGGACAATATTATGTAAATAAATTTAAAGCAAAATATCGAAATCTAAACCGATTAATCGAAACTTGCCACTTGTTGGATTACACTTATTTCAGTATGTTTTGAGCATTCGGTCACATTTTGAGTTCTTCATCTTCAAATTGCGTGCAAATCGAAAGATATATAGGGACTTTGGTGCACTATTTACCTATAATGGGACGAAAATATATATGGGAGCCAGGGACGTACGCAGGGGGGCGGCCCGGGGGGGCCCGGGCCCCCCCCGAAATAATTTTTTTTCACAGTAAATTTATGTTTGCAACAACGAATTTTTTCATTTTGTACTACCGGGTTCTTTAAAAATCTTTCTTTAAAAATCCATACCTAAATGTATGCTTCACAAAATGATTCCTTAAAAATCAATGCCTAAATGTATGCTTCACAAAATGATTCCATAAAAATCCCCGCCTAAATGTATGTTTCATAAAATGATTCCTTAAAAATCAATGCCTAAATGTATGCTTCACAAAATGATTCCATAAAAATCCCCGCCTAAATGTATGCTTCATAAAATGATTCCTTAAAAATCCCCTCCTAAATGTATGCTTCATAAAATGATTCCTTTAAAATCCACGCCTAAGATTATGCCTCGGAAAATAATCCTTTAAAAATCCACGCCTAAAGTAGGAATAGAGCCTCTGAAAAGATTCCTTTACTCCTTGAAGTATCCTTTACATAATATTTCCTTAAAATAATGTATTAAATTATTAACAAGAAAATCTAATTATCTCCTTAGTCATGCTGATATCTAATATTTAATTCATACTTCGTGGAATTTTGTATTATTTAATAGCAAGATTTGCAAAACCACACTTGACCCAGTTAACTGGTTAATTTATTAAATTAATCTTCAATTCTCAAAATTATTGTTAACTCATTTTACGTGTATCTCCTTTCCCTTATCATTTTACAAATTTTAAGAGCCACAAATTAATATTTGTTCGTTTTATCCTGGATTTGTATAGATTCGATTTTCTAATTCCAATTTTATTTATAACTAGCCGAATCACAATAACAATAATAATGGCAGGACAAATCACCCATAAACCGAATAAGTGAGTGAACTCATTTGCATTGCCATTAACATTTTGTAATTAAATGATAAAGGCCCAACATATCAATGGCAAATCATTGCGACAATTATAAATATATATGTTTGTATGTAGAAAATTGTTCGAACCATATTCTATAAATTGTATATAATAGGATGTGTATAATAGGATGTGTTGGTCCTTGAAAAAACATTTTTTATCCTTGTATTGGTCCTTGAAAAACTCTTCTTTAAAAAATCCACGCCTTGTGTTGGTCCTTGAAAAAAATCTTCTTTAAAAAAACCAAGCCTTGTGTTGGTCCTTGAAAAAAATCTTCTTTAAAAAATCCACGCCTTGTGTTGGTCCTTGAAAAAATATTCTTTAAAAAAACCACGCCTTGTGTTGGTCCTTGAAAAAATATTCTTTAAAAAATCCACGCCTTGTGTTGGTCCTTGAAAAAAAAAAACTTTTTTAAAAAATCCACGCCTTGTGTTGGTCCTTGAAAAAAATCTTCTTTAAAAAATCCACGTCTTGTGTTGGTCCTTGAAAAAATATTCTTTAAAAAATCCACGCCTTGAGTTGTTCCTTAAAAAAAATTCTTTAAAAAATTCACGGTCCTTTGAAAAAAAATATGTTTTAAAAAATCCACGCATTGTGTAGGATGGACACTGAAAAAAATATTTTTTTTTTAAAATCCATGCCTTGAGTTGGTCCTTGAAAAAAAAATATTTTTTAAAAAATCCACGCCTATTGTACTTACTTACTTAGCTGGCTTGTGACAGAACTTTCGTTCCATAAGCCGAGCTTAAAAAATATTTCCAGGCGCGTCGGTCTTTTGCGCAGTTTTTTCCAATTTGAAAGACCATGTTTAGCAATGTTATCTTCCACTTGATCTTTCCATCTTATTCGTGACCTTCCCCTTCTGCGTGAACCATCAGCTGGTTCGCTTTTATATGCCTTCTGGGCTGGGGCATCTTCATCCATTCTCACAACATCTTCCGGGGAATTTTTCTCTCAAACACTCCAAGAGCTGCCTCATCTGCTTGCGCAAGTACCCATGCTTCAGATTCATATAACAGCACGGGTAGTATCAGCGTCTTGTAGATTGTGAGTTTGGTCTGACGGGAGGTGGCATTGTTTCTAAACTGCTTTCTTAGACCATAGTAGCATATGTTGGCCATCACAATCCTTCTCCGAATTTCAAAACTGATGTCATTCGTTTTGTTTATGGCGGTACCAAGGTATATACAATCTTTGACTACCTCGAAGCTGTAGTTCTAAAGTTCCACAGTTGTTCCGAGTCTACTGGACGTCTTGCGCGTTGATACCATCAGCTTGGCCTTCTCGCCGTTTACTGCCAGACCGCCACTTTGGCAGACTCCTTCTCAATTTGTTCAAAGGTGGCTGTTACCGCTCTCAATGTTCGACCCATTATGTCGATGTCATCGGCGTAGGCGAGTAACATGTGTTGTTTGGTGTACATAGTGTCATTTCTGTTCATCTTTGCCACTCGTATGACCTTTTCCAGCAGGATGTTAAAAAGGTCAAACGACAAACTGTCACCTTGTCTGAATCCTCGTTCTGTATTTAAGGGCTCCGATAGGTCCTTTCCGACTTTAACTGCTGATCTTGTGCCAGTTAAAGTTATCCTGCATAGCCGTATTAATTTTGCTGGAATGCCAAACGCAGACATGGCTTTATACACCTCTGAACGGATAAGGCTGTCGAATGCGGCTTTATAGTCGACGAATAGGTGGAATGTGTCGATGGGGTTTTCGTGGGTTGTTTCCAGGATTTAGCGCAGAATGAAAATCTGGTCAATGGTGGATTTGCCAGGTCTGAGGCCGCATTGGTATGGTCCAATAATGTCATTGACCATTGGCTTCAGACGTTCACACAGCACGCTGGATAGCACTTTATATGCGATGAGAAGGAGACTTATTCCTCTATAGTTGGCATATATCGTCTTATCTCCTGTTTTGTGCAAGGGACACAGGATGCTGAGGTTCCAATCATTGGGCATGCATTCTTCTAGCCAAATTGTACTAATCAACTGGTGCATGCTCCTAACCAGCAACTGACCACCAGTCTTGAATAGTTAGGCTTGTAACCCATCGGCACCGGCATTTATTATTCTTCAACCGATTGATTGCTATTCTGGCTTCATCTTGGCTAGGTGGTATACACTCTATATCGTCATCTATTATTGGTTCTGGGATATCCTCTTTACCGCTACTATTTGATACCAGAAGTTTTTCAAAATGCTCCTTCCAGATCCTCAACCTTCCTTCTTCATCTCTACAGGAGGATGTGCCTGCACCAAAGCCTTCGGTTTGGTGTTTTACCCGTTGGTAGAATTTTTGGACTCCATTCTGACTCCTGTATATTACCCGTTGGTAGAATTGTTGGACTCCATTCTGACTCCTGTATATCTCGATTTGATCACGCTCACGTTTTTCTTGTTCTTTCTTCTTTTTTCTGAAAATAGGTTTTTCCTCTCTTCTTTTCTCCCGATAGTTCTCCATCGCATTACGTGTTGCTGCTGTCCGCAGGGTTGCCTCATATGCTGCGTTTTTCATATCAGTGGCTGCTGCGTTTTTCATACTCCTGATCGTACCACGTATTTCTTGACGATGGTCTTTGGTACCCAAGTGTTGCTTTTGCTGCAGTTTGTAGGGAGTGGACAATTCTCTGCCACTGTGCTTCTATATTGTTATCAGGACAAGGGGTGCTTTCGTCAATCAGTTCGGTAAGTTGAGCGGAGTAGGCTTCTGCTATCTGTTGTGCTTACAGCTTTTCCATGTCAGATCGCACCTTTGCTGCCACATTAAGACTGGTGGGTACCTTGGCTGCCACAAGATAATGGTCCGAATCGATATTCTCTCCTCGTATCGATCGGGCGTCTAAAACACTGGATAAATGCCTTCCGTCTATCACATGATCGATTTGATTTCTCGTTGTTCGATCGGGAGAAATCCAAGTGGCCTTGTGTATATCGAGATGCTTGAATCTGGTGCTGCTAACTACCATGTTCTTTGCTGCCGCGAAGTCAATCAACCTCATGCCATTGTCTGATGTTGCTTCATGGAGGCTGAATTTTCCGACAGCGGGGCCAAAGATATTTCCCTTCCGATTTTTGAATTAAAATCTCCTAACAGAATTTTAATGTCATGACCAGGGCAACGGTTATATGCTGTTTCTAGGCGCTCGTAAAATATCTCTTTGGTCTGTTCATCTTTATCTTCGGTTGGAGCATGGGGCAAATGAGACTAATGTAGAAGAACTTCGCTTTTATGCCGATTATAGCAATTCTCGCATCTAATACAGGGCGTAGTCGTCAGATTTACTTACGTCAGTCCCTTTCCATCGCATTTCCTGTAAGGCAACAATATCGGCTTTGTACTTCTTGAGTTCATCCGCCAAAGCGAACACTGCGCCTGTTCTGTACAACGTGCGCACATTCCAAGTGCAGATTCGCAGATCGTGGTCCTTTATACGTTTGCGGGGGTCGTCAACATTAGATGGACTTGGTTTTCGTTTTCGTTGCTTTTTCATTTCCGAATGTGGGCAACTAACCCGA